ATTATTTTTTGTTAATTTATTACAACATTTAAAATACATGATAATTCACATAAAAACCCTGATTATCATCCTCTTGAAAAAAGAATTGTAAAGTATAGAGATATTGGACCCAAATGTTGGCAGGGCAACAGTCTACTAATGCTGATCAAGGCTACCCCTTTAAATGGGGTATGTTCTCTACTTGGCCACAAACCCTATCTCCATGTAGGCTAATTTACTGCCCACCCCCCCCCGCGCCACCGCCAAGAGACAATTGAGTTTATGTTCCCTGGTCTAAGGCTCTTAGAAAAACCTTATTTCTTTTTCACAATGTGGCTTCAATATCTTACATGAAGACTTGTCATGGTAGGATATAGGAATCTCTCAATCTCTCAATCTAAGTAGAGTTTCAATCAAATTCCCCTCTCAATATGTTCTCAATTTGAACCATGATCCCCAAGAAGATGGACAAATGACAAATTACCCTTCAGTTTCTTTTGTCCTTCAAGCTAGCCAAGCCAGAAACCCAATCAGGTGGAGTCAAAGCACTAATATAAGAATGTCTTAATTAAGCAGAGTGATCAATAAATAATACACATAATAATTAGAAAGCAAAGTCTGGGACTGATAGAATAAAAACAACATAGCACTGATGTACGTAAGGATAAGAGGTCAATAGCCATAATTCAAAAGGAAAAGCCCTAAAAATATGCAGAAATAGCTAGTAAATAGAGTTTAGTCCAAGTTCGTTAATAACCCACTATATGATTTCACCTCACACCTACATTAAATACAGTATCTTATTTTGGGATGGCAGAATTCTGACAACTACAGGTTGAGTATCCCTTATCTGAAATGCTTAAAAGTTTCAGATTTAGGGGTTCTTTGGATTTTGGAATATTTGCATAATACTTACCAGTTCAGCATCCCTAATCCAAAAATCTGAAATCTGAAATGTTCCAGTGAGCATTTCCTTTGACCGTCACATCAGTGCTCAAAAAAGTTTTGGATTTTGGAGTATGTTGGATTTCAGATTAGTGCTACTTAAATTATATTTGCTAACTGATATTCTCTGTATTATTTTCTTACTGGTGAAAAGACAAATTGAACTCAGGAAAGAAAAATTACAAATATATAGTCAAAGAGTCACCAATTCATTTGAGTAACATGATGAGTTTTTATTTCTTAATATACGGGGTTTAATTTGTTAACCACACCAGAAAAAGAAATGTTCAAACAGTCAACTTTCTACTTGAAATTAAAATGGAAATTAGCCCTTAGGAAACAGTGATGACTTTAAGTTTATACATCAGTGGCTGGTTCATGAATTATTAACTGATTTTAATGATCCTGGCTATATTTTATTTGAAGTTATTCTCCTACTTGCAACGACTTTTGAACCCACAAAACTCTTTCATCCATTCTCCATAGACACAGTACACTTTCATGAGCGCTGACATTTGAAAAGGATCCATATAGTCTCAGAATGTAAAGATAATACACATGCATATAATTTACACAAAGGACTCTGGTCATTTGTTAAAGAGAGAAATGAATGAAACCCTATTATTCACGGTTTGTAAATAAATTTAAAGATAAGCGCTAACTTTCACTTGTTAAGCCTAGAGCCAAGAGTTCTGCGTTTCTTCTAAAGTTTCCCAGATGGTCATTAAAACAAGAGAGGGCAGAAACATACTTTCTTTGAAATCCATCATTTCCTATCCAGAAAGATAATACATGTCATCAAAAGTTAAGTCTTTAGAGATTAATTAATAATTTGAGTATTTTCTAATAAAATAAATGCATGTCTTTATATGCTAGTTTTTACATTTTCAGTATAAACCTATATTGAACAGCACCACTTCAGACACACAAATTAGCTGTGAAACAAAATGCTATAAACCTTTAATTAGCACTTGCGGCTTTATACCCATAAAGTTAATACTTCCTCTTCTACTATATTCTCTGTAAAGACAAATTATGGAAAATTAAATTGTGTTTTTCACTTCTGAAAATAAAAGTAGCAAAATATAGTATTGTGGCTCAGTTTAAAGATAGTTATATTTTTACCTGCAAGGAAGTCAATACAAACATCCCTTAAAATAAGTATAATTTGATTCCTACCAATATTAAGCGCTATGTCTAACTTTTGTAACTTGGGTACACACAGCACTGATGACGATCAGATTGCTAAATAAGTAAGAAAGCAAGTTATTTCAGGCAAATAGCTGCATTAAGAAAATACGACAGTGAGCCAACTTGCATCCACACTCCTGAAGCTGAACAACATCTCAATAAATAATGTCTGTTTTCAAGCTTTATATACCCTCCCTGAAATAAATGTTCTGAGCTTAAATAGACTCAAAATAGCCTTTCTCAGAAAATAAAAAAGAGACACACACAAAACACCCCCAATTTCCTCTGGTCCCTTGAAGTACCCTTGGGATCCCAGTGAACAGAGATTTGCCACGCATTGCAGTCACTGCATTTGTACAATAGGTTTCTATTTTGGTGTCATTCGAGTGTTGCTGATCTTAAATCAGAGAAAGAAGGAGTTACATTAGGCAAGGTAATGGCTTCCAAAAATAAGAGCATGCCCAGTTTATACAAGGCTTGCATCCACATGCTAAGTTGTAAGGAGATAAATAATACCCCACTGGAACAATTAGGTGGATTCTCAGAAACACTACATACTTAATTAGGCTGCCTAAGTCCCTGACTGAGCATACATGGGGGACTTTTTAAAGCATTTAATAACCTGAGTAAATCCAAAATCAGGGGACACAAACTAATCCTTAACTCTGGCTCCAGCGATCGGCCTTTTCTTGCCTCTCTTTAAATGCTTAGCGTAGCCCTTAGAATGCGGACAGCAGGAACGCTCCAACCACCAAAGGGTTAAAGCACAAGGAATAAAGTCCCCTCGATCTATATTTGTTGGGAGGCCCCTCTGTGCCAGACGCGGAGCTGGGCGATGATGACACTGGAAGGTGAGCAAGAGAGACCCTAATGGTTTTTTACAAACTTCAGCACTGGAGTTGGGAACGGAGTATAAACAAATAGAAAGGAACACGAGCCTCCATCAGCCACGGGGCACAGCAAACTGTTCCTCACTCTAGATGCAATTCCTCCTCTTCCTGTTATTTATTGATTAGTTTTGTTTAGCACCTTTCTTTTAGCAGACTCCTTATTTCCTCCTGTTATCCAAGCAATCATAAACAAACTACGATTTGAAAGAAAAAGGGAGGGAGGAGGGAGGAGCAGGAGGAAGGGTAAAGAAAACCACATTCAAAAGGTACAGGCCATCCAGAGCCCGACTGTTTCTCTGAATTTCGCCCTCAGGGTGATGTTTTCGGCAAATTCGGCGCTGGGGGCTTCAGGGAGGACAGAGGACACCGAGGGGGGGTGGTGGTGGGAGGGCGGGGGGGAATTCCGCGCTGCCCGGGTACCAGGGCTGCTGCGACTCTCGCCCGCCTCGCTGCTCCGAGCGGCGCCTGCTGCCCTTCTGAGGTCCACCTAGCCACCTGGAACGCTCGGTCCTCGAAGTTGGCGCAGGGGGAGGTGGAGAAGGTGAGGTGACCCCAGGGTATGGTGTGGAGGTCTCCAATCCCGATCTCCCAGAAATGCAAAACTTACCACCCCCGCCCCAGAAAAAAAAAATGAGAGGAGAGAAGCCACTTAACGCTAAGCGGGGAGGGGCGGGCACCCCGGTTCCGAGGTCCAAAGCGCCCTAGCGAAAGGGCAGCAAAGGCCACCTGCGGGGTCCCACCACTTACCCCACTCCCCTGTCCAAGGCATACTCAAAAGTTTGTTCCTTTCCGTCCGTAAGCGGCCCTGAGGCCGGCTCTCGAGTAGGTGGGGGAGGTAAGAAGGACTGGGAGTGGGGGAGGGCAAGATCAGCGGACCAGGAGATCAGGGACCCCCTGCGTTGCCCCCCACTCACTCCAGGGGGGCTGCGATCGTGTTTACTAATAACAGCAACAAACAATCACACGGGAGCCCCTCTTTCAGTCCTCGGTCTCTCTTCGCTTCTTTGGTGCAGCAAAGGAGAGTCTGGCGGGGAGGTGGGAGGGAGCGGAGAGGCTGAGGGGAGCGCCGGCTGGGGGACAAAAAGCGGCGTGGGATGGGGCAGAAACAGAAGCGGGGAGAGCTGGACAGAGACGAAGGCTCAAAGCTAAAGGAGTAAACAGGGGAGGAAAGAGGCCAAAGAAAAGTACAGCAGGCGGTGAGCCCGAGCGCGGGGCGCGCCCGGGATGGGGAGGTGGCCCCCGCCTACCCGCCCCCCGGCCCGGCCCGGTCACCTTGCTGTAGCCGTAGTACCCCAGGCACTGCGCGAAGTCCAGGCTGGCAGGGTCCCCGGCCGCCGCGGGGTAGAACCTAACATCCATGCCGGAGCCGGGCCCGGGGCCGGGGGCCGGGACTGGGGTTCGCCGGGGCCGGGACCCGCCTCCTCGCCGCCGCTAGATCCACCGTCGGGGGCGCCCGGGGGTGGCGCGCGGGACTCGCGGTCGGAGGGGCGCCGCGACCGGAGCCCGAGGAGCCCGGGAGCCGCGGCCGCGGCACACAAAGGCGCGGCCACGCGAGCCGCGGGAGAGCGGGAGGCGGCCCGGGGGACGCGCCCCGCCGGGGCACCGAGACAGCGCTGCGCGCGGGCCGGGCGCCGGGGGCGCTGGGCGCGGCGCGGGGGCCCGGGACGGCGCGGCGAGTTCAGGTGCGCTGGGCGAGGCTGGGACGGCGGCGGCGGCGGCAGCTGGCCCCGCTCCTCCTCCTCCTCCCCGGGCGGACTGAGGAGACGAGCCGCGGAGACAAGGGGCCCGGCCCCTCCCCTCCTTCTCCCCCTCCTGCCTCCACCGCCGGTCCCCTCCCCGCGCCGCCGCCGCTCCGCCCCTCCCACCGCGGGCAGCTGGCGCGCCGCCCGCCCCGCCGGTGCGCTCCTCGGCCCGGACCGCCTCCGGGCGCGCCCACCCCGCCCCGCCGGCCCCATCACCCCCGCCGCGGCCTCCCCCTCTCCGGGGCCCCTCTTCTCCCCACCTCGCCCCCCTTCCCGCTCCGGTCCTCTTTGTCCCCGCTGCCTCGGAGCGCTCCTCTCTCTCCTCCTTTCCTCGGCCGAAACGGACGCCAGCCCTGCGTCCCGTGTGTCCCACCCTCCTCCTGCGCGACCACCGCTTCCCCGGGCCCCAACATCCCCAGGCCGTCTGCTCCCTTCCTGTCGCTTTCCTCCCCACGCCCCGCTTCCTTCCTTACGGGTGCCTGTGCCCGGGCCCCTCTCCTCCACCCCGCCTTGCCTTTCGAATGTCCCCTGCGTGGACACACCTAACCCAGACGCCAACCTGCAAGAGTGTCTCCCGGTAGCCGGGAACCGGGACCCCAAGTTCACCTGTAGGATTTCCCAGAAGGGGTGTTGGGGCCTGACCTTTCACAGGTAGGCAGACTTGAAGCTTCCCAAGTGAAGCCTCGTGTCGGTTCTCTTCGTATTCTCTTTGCTCTTGTTTGTATTCGAAAGGCATTTGAGTAACTGGATCTAGGCAGATCATTCACTGCTCTTGGAGAGAAAATGTCCCTATTTTCCTAAAAGGTCCTAGCTGATTAACTTCCCCACTCTGCACTCACCCACCCCCTCTTTATGTTTTTATCTTTCTTAAGCTCCATCTTTTTATTTATTTATTTTCTCATCGGCTTTATTGCTTTGAGTTAATCTGAGAGTTTGGCCTTCAGCCTTGGCGAAGGGAAGAGGCTTTATACTAGATGGGAACGTTGTGGAGAGGCCGTGAGATCTGCCCCCTCCCCAGTTTTGTTATCTGCGAGCCACTTTAACCAGAACGGAGACATTCTGAAATATTTCCTATGACACTCGCTAACAGTTTCGTCCCCTGGTCACACCTTGCTGGCCCAGGGCCTGAGCTTTTTCAGACAAGCATGACATGGGTTTTCTTTTCATTTCTTCTGTTCTCCAAAGTGGATCGGGCTTGCGACACCTGTGTGTGTACCTTCGCTCAATATTATCTTTCTGGAACGGAGCAGAAAAAAATAAACTTCAATTAGGTGAAAGTTTCTGTATTTGCTCTTCTCTTAGCAAAAACTTGGGTCAGGAGACTGCATGAGAGAGCAGTGTGTACTCAGAAAAGAAACAACTGCTCACATTGTCCCTGGGTTGACTCCTATCCCCCCCCTCCCTAAAAAGCTTTGGTTTCCCCTCCCTAGTCTCCATTTAACGTTGACAACCCAGCGGCGCTCCCTAATGGCCCAGCAGGTTGCACAAATTGACAGTGAGCTGAGATATTATCAGGACAACACCCCATTGAGTAAGTTCTTGAAACGCAGAAGTGGAGGCCCTTTCTGTGGGCCACTGGGCGCCTGTGGCCTTTCCACCAATCAGAGCTGGAGGTTGCAGTGGCCACCTGTTGTCTCGCAAGAGAACATCTTTTAAGTTTCGCTATTAGTATTTAACAATAGCCTATAGAGCACGATCTGGTCACAGGAGAGGAGCAATGTGATGATCTGGGGTACCAAAAAAGAATTTAAATTTTTTTTTTTTTTTACAGATAGCTCTTACAAGGAGCCAAAAGTCTGGAAAGCTAAGTTTTTCTTTGCAGACTCACAGTCCTCACCTTCTGCTCATTCTGTTTTGCATCTGGAGCAATCTGAGCTTGATTAAAGGACGAAGAAAAGTATAATCAAAGTTACAGAGACTAAACCTGAACTTGTAATCAGACTTCGAGGATCAGGAATATAAATACGCTTCGCAGTGGAAACCCGCTAGCTGCAAGAATGGGAATTGCAAGTGGGCTGATGTACTGCATTCAGCTTTGGGCGTGGAGCCTAGAAAATGAAGCGAGAACTTTACCCCTAAGGCTCTCAGGAGTTAGGAATGCTCAATGACAATCCCTAACTTCTGGCCATTGTTTTGGAAAAGTCTTTCTCTTAAATTTCCCTTCCCTGTTAGGATGCAAATGCTTTTGAGAAGGGAACAATACTCATCCGTCTGCATTTTATTATTTGATTTAGGATGTAAGGTAAGCAAAAGATCTGAGTCTAGATTTTGATTTGGGGGGAGGGGAAGAATCCGGGTGATGAGCTGAAGATGTGTATGTTGAGGCATTTAGAATTCGAAAATCACTGGAACAGAAAAAGGGCATTGGGGAAGGCTGCTAACTTGACGATTTTGCCCAATCTCCACGCATTTGGCAGCTAGCTATATTTATTTATTTATTTATTTATTTATTTATTTATTTATTTATTTAAGTACCTACCATGTGCCAGACATGATTTTAGGCACTTGTGAATGAGAAAGAGGATTCGATTCCCAACATGACACATAAAGAGGACTATGAATTGAGCTCTTGGAACACAAAATACACACGTACTCACATGCACACGTGTATACATACCCTGAACCATCCCAGTCACCTGGAGATACTGACATGGCACAGCCACTAGCTGCTGTTGAGAGAAGCAACATGAGAAACAAACTCACATACAGTGTGAAGGATGCCAGCCTTTACATCCCCATGGTATTTGTATAAGAAGGCTCAAGGGACGAGGCAGTGCACACTGATAGATCATTGCTGAATCCCAAGAACCTCAGACCGTGCTTGGTACATAGTTTGTTTGCAGGAAATAAATATTCATTAAAGAAAGAAAGTTTAGAAAGAACATGGGAAGGAAGAAGGAAAAAAAATCAGAATGTTTTAATAGTGTAATTTATTTGCAGGGAACCTTAAGGCAGGATTTGAGAAGAGTGTATCCAGGGCCTCTGATGTGAATTAGAACAATCTACCTTGGGTAGGGTGGGGGCCTTTTGCACCCTGCTGTTGTAGACTCTTCGTAAATGTTAAAACTAGGATCCTATGTGGTTTCCTTTAGAAATGATCTGATTATACTCTCCATTGCTTTCGCACTATCATCTAATTTTAAGGGTTCCAGTGGTTTTGAAGACTATCCATTAAAAACTTTAGAATGATGCTTTAAAAAATTAAATGCAATTGTAACTGTCATGGTATTTGTTATCTTAAGGGTGTCACTGTTTTCAGTCTGTCAGCAGTCTTGTTTCTGAAAGCCATAGACAAAGGTTTCCTTTATACTGGATTAGCCTTGAATTTGAAGAAACTTCTCCAAGAACATATCTTAAATGTGCTTTGAATTTATGCTGAACAATGCTAACAGTTATTGACTTAGAAGGGCAGCAGAAGAATCAATTCTGCAGCCAAAATGCAACTTCTGGGCATAAGAAAATTCCTTTAGGGTTTTGAGATGATTTGGATCAAAACTGTCCATCTTATTATAATGCTTGATGTTTCTAATTAAATAGTTGATGTCATCCAAGAATCCCTTAAAAATGGGGAGAAAATACACAAACTTTACGTTGTGGGAAAACTACCTTACATCTTGACAGAAGCTGAAACCTTTCTCTACTTTATCTGGTTTCAAATTATGCAAGAAAGTCCCCACGAGGACTTCATTAAACCTGCCAGAGTTTTATAACCAAAAACCTCACTGGAACCCCCACTTTTACAAATCTATGAAAGTAATTTAACCCCTCCGTGTTCTGCTTGCCCAAGATGAGACGCAAATACTATTAAACAGTATATACAGTTTAATTCTCTTGAGTTTGGGTGATGAAAATCCTATCCAAATATTATGATCCTTGCAATATGTAATGTAACCAAATTATTGGTAGCTCCAAGTGGAAATTAACAAGGCCAGGGCTACTCACGTTTCTTCTCATCTATTCTCATAGTAACAGCTAATGTATTATATTGCTAAAATATCTTATATTCAGTTTTATATCTGAACTTGGTGTTGTGTCATAAATCGTAGCATTCCTATCCAGCCTGGATTCTTAATATGTGTATCCTCATGAAATTTAGGAGATTTTCATATCTGCGAATCAACACTTCACATGCATAGTCTAAACCACATGCAGATAAAAGCAAGTCAGAACCTACCAAGACTCTCACCATAGTGAACCTACACATGGTATAGAGGAAGAATTCTTACCTGGGGGATCTGATGACACATCACTAGTGCAGGACATAAAATGAATCACCATAGAGAGATCCACACAGGAATTACAGTGTGAAAAAAATCCCCAAGCATAGCCATTGTTTAGCTTCAGTTTTCAGTGAATCTAAACTCTTCTGGTCTGAAGATGTGAACTATTTTGATATTTTTACTTTGGTCAAAAAATACAGAAATCCAAAAAATACAGAAATCTGGGGAAATGGGAGAAAAATAAGCAAACTTTTCCTTCACGATAACAAATATATATTCAGTTGTGTACATGAGGTTGTTTCTCATATTACTACAAACAATTTTAGTCCTATTGGTCTCTGTATTACCAGGCACAAGAAGAGCTCTAGAAAACTAATCATTTTGTCAGTTGACTATTACTTTTACTAAGAATAGATACACCCAAAGGTTCTGACAGATATATAGTAATTATGGAACAGTAACCTCCAACACCTTGGTAGCAAAATACTATTAAGCCAAGAATTCATTACCACAAATATGAAATGCAGCAAGTATTTGCTTGTGACCTAAGTAGGTCTTCAGTAAAGCTATCTTAGAAACCAAAATACTCAACACAATCAGGAGGTGTGCAATTTTCACTGTATTTGTACTCTGCCTTTAAAAAAATTATATTCACAGAAATCCTAAACTGTCGTCCTGCCTGTTTTCTGAAATATATTCTATTTATTTTAAAGTGAAAGAATGACCTCTTTTGCAGGAACAATTTTCAGAGACAGCGTGTTTATCAAATGGTTTCTCTGCTTTCATAAAAACAATTTATTTTCACTGAACTCTTCAAGATAAGCATCAAAACCAGGAAGAATGTACAATGAAGTTTATAATTTCACTCCAGAAACAAATACTGGGTAGTTTTTATTTTACTTAAGTGAAAAACATTTTTTTTTCCGCCAAGGAGACAAAGGTACTAATGGGGGAGGGGGTTTATACGGGAGTGAAAATCAGGAAGTCCAGATAGTCTTCAGCAGGAGGGGCCCCTGGTGTCCACAAAGACCACCGACTGGACAATGAAAGCTGAAGACCCAGTACTTTCTTCGCAAATGGGTGGGGGTCAGTCCACAGTTTTATTCTTCGCTAGGGGACAGCTATAGAGGCATTAAGGAGAGAAAATCATTAGGCAGATATTAATGAAACCCTTCCATAACAGATCTGTATACCATTGCACATAAATATCTCTCATAGTTGGAGCTTTGGATGACAATCCTTTCTTTGATAAGCGTCCATGTTTCTAGGCTTAATTTATATGACATGTTATTTTTTAATAACCATAGAACAATAAAATTGTAAAAATAACCAAGAAATCAACGGAGTCTAATAAAGATTCTGTTTCTTAAGAAATGGAAACAATTGCATCTGATCACAGAACAGCCAAGAACTGGCAGCAAAATAATCTCTCCTAATTTACATAGATCTGTGTGTGCCAAACAGATGAGTGTTTGCTTTTCGAGTAATAGTGCAGGTGCGTATCCTGCAGTGACTAAATCTCTAACTCATCAAACTGTTTCGCTAGAGTGGGACATGCCCTCTTTTTCTGGAACAGTTTCAAGTTTTCTCCCCAGCATTCCAGCCACCTGTTTATGGAGTTCATCCTCGGGAGAAGATGCATGCAATTAGAAACAAGAAAATGAAAATAAATGACCTTGTTTGTTATTTATAACAAAGAAACTCAGCAAAATTAATGCTGTGAAGCTTGACCTCCTGACCCTGGAAAAAGAGCCACCTCATGGCTTTGTGGTCAATGGACAATAGTCTGGCAGCTCCCATTGTCCAGTCACCGTGACTTTTGAATGGTGATTAAAGCCATATATCCAAAATATTAAATGTTTTATGAGTTAGATTAGAGGATTTGCACTTTTTTAAATGCGTGTTTTAAAAACTGAGGTTAGTTAGCACGAGAGATTTTCTTTTTAAGGAGAGCAGGTAAAAATCATTTAGCTTCATCCACTCCCTCTATCCTGTATCAACAACATGTTGAAGGAAAGGAAAAGATTTAAAAATTTTGAACTAGTGCTTTGGGAATTGAGGAATGGTTAAATATATAATAGAAATCAAATAGAAAGGTGGCTTTGAAAGTGGTTCAGGGAAAACATTGTGTTTCCTCCCTGTTGAGGCCACAGGGAGGAAAGGGAGAATTACAACGTTCTGTTACATAAATGCAGTGTGGATGATGCCCCCTAGAGTTGTGCGATGAAATAGTATTGCTGTTTTCCCTTCCACCTCTTATCCCAACCCACACATCCTAGAAGCCCAGAGCAGGCAGGAAATGAAGGTGGCAATGGAGTTTTGAAGACTCTTCAGAACCGGTGCTTGGGTGGAACATCTTGAGGTAGGATGGCTACTGAAAATGACACTCTAGTAACTTGTGTGGGTGATTCTAAAGTTGGCCTCCCCTACTGTCTCTTGCCTCTTTCCCCAGTTGGTCTCCTCCTTCATTCACCCACAACAAATCCATGAGCGTCCTGGATTAGTCTAAATCTTACAGTAAAATCTCTGTTTGATTTTTTTCCATCCAAGTTGCTTGTTTATTGGCCAATCTGCCCAGTGCTACTACATCTTTAATTGTTTAATTTTTCCCTAGGAGGAAGTAACTATTTATTTAAGAAAGATCTCTACTATTCCTTAAAGTATCTTCTTCACTGTGAAATAAAGTCAGTTTCATAAGGCATGCAGATTGTCATGCAAACACCACCCTCAGCATTCTAGATCATACCTCCTCACTTTCCCTTTTCTTTCTGATCCCCTGAGGGTAGCTCATTATATGCCCCTCCCTACCCCTTCTTGGGGATGCTGCAGCCATAAATCTGGAGAGATCGTTAGAATTACAAACTCTGGTTGGTGTCTCACATACCTACAACAACAACAACACAATTATAGCCACTGTAGAGCCAATGTCCTGGTTAACGCTTGTGTAACTGGCCAATTCTCAGGCCCAGAGAAAGGAGTTTAAGGAAGTTTTTGGATCTCACCAGTCTAAAACTTCTTCTGCAGTCCAAAACCACATTTCAACTATCATTTAACTGAAAGACTGTGCCCTCTTATTCTGGAACCATCACTAACTGAATTCCCTGTGTGCTTAAGCACCAAGTTAGAGAGCTGTGTTCAGCGCCAGCGAGAAAGAGTAGAGTGTGATTACCGCATCTTATCCACAGCTGAAACCTGTGTCATTTATTTTTCAACAAGTGTTGACTGTGCCTTTCTAACTATATGGTACTACGTTTCCACAAGTGGGAAAAAGCATGATCCCTGTTTATACTAAACATGACAAGACACGAGGAAAGTAGTCATATAATGAAATATTGTAATCAGTGCCATAGAAAAAGCATTCTCAGGCTAGAGTAGTCAACAACATTTATTTACAGAAATTGTTACAGGTAATATGTTAGTGTGCTGCTTAGAAAAGGGGGGATCATTTATGATTAGGATAATCAGAGGAAACTTCACGGAGAAGGCATTTGAAAGTAGATAGCATTTTGGGGAGGCAAGAGGGATGAAAAAATATTCTAGTGGAGGGAGGTTTTGAACACAGTTATTAAAGAGAAAATATTCCATGCGTGGTGGGAATTTTGGGTGGCATCAGCCATTTGTTGGGCAGATTAAGCTTCAGTAACAAATAACCTCTAATATCTTACTGGGTTACCAGCACAGACGACTATTTCTCGGCCCCCGTTCCAGTCCACCACTCATCAGCTGCTGTTCATTTGCACATCTTCATCTCAGGACCAAAGCTGAAAAAGAAGCTTCTATCTGGGGCATGTGGGTCTTGTAGCAGAGGAAAAAGAGAGAGTGGAAACCCGCTACAGCTGTCAAAGTTTCTGGTCACATCATTTCTGCTCACATCATTCCCGCTCACTTTTCACTGGGCAAAGCAAATCAGATGGTCAAGCACCATGTCAATGGGGCAGAAAGTATGATCCCTCTGGAGGGACTGGCCTGGTAAAGAGTAAGGAGGAGCCCCCTATTTTGCAATAATGTAGTCGGTGCCATGGAAAGAGTGTTTTAGAGACCTACCAAAAGTTTCAGGCAGCGAGCAAAATTGTTTAGCAGGAGGAGTGAGTGAGTGTGGAGGGGAAGAGCTTGGTGAGATAAGATGCTGGGAAGTCATAGTGGGAAGGAGACAGGCTGGCAAGTGAAACATTACCAAGTTTTGGAGGCCGGGCAGCTGAGTTAGATTCGATGCAAGAGGATGTATGATGGCATGAAAAAACGCGGCTGTGAGTTCTGATCTAAAGTTTGTTTTGACCCATATAGAGCAGACTCATTTAACATTTAATTAGTTTATACTGTGTGTCAGTTGTGTTGGCATGTAGACATTTGCATAGATCTATATTTTAAATTTTGATCCTCCTGACGCCTCTCTGGGTTAAATAAGTATTATTCTCTTTGTTAAGCTGAAGGAGGCTCACGGAGGTTGAATGACTTTCTTAAAGACACAAAACTGTGATGCAAAGTGAGGTCTTTCTACTGCATCACTGCAGGGCAAAGAAATTAAAATGTCACCTTTCTTTAGTATTGACTTGTTATTCTTTATCTTCTCCTTATATACACAGTCTGAAAGCAAGGTTAATATGAT